TAAGCTAGATAGGGCGCTATATCAAATGCTCATGTATATTATTATTATTATTATTATTATATACATGAGTACCTGTACCTGTATGAACATATATCATTTTTATAGACAATTATATACATATTAAGGTAAACTACACATACTTAAATAATAAGTTCATGTCATTTTTGTTTTATTGAAAACTGTTTAATTTATATATAATTTACTCTTCAAGTATTGCTGGCTTAAATGTCATAGGTCTGCACTGACAAAGCTGATATATATGCTTTTTAAACACAGTTGAGAGCTAGGCATGAACCAATTGCAACTTGTATCACAATTATACTATTCTCCATTATGATATAAATATTTATGTATCTAATGGTTCATGACTTATTATTATCACACTCTACGGTTACATAGACCACCAGATATTCTCAACACATTTCATTGTTGAAAATAAAGTTGAATTGATACAATGTACTTTCTATAAAAAGGAGTTATGTAAATGTAATTAATATAACAAATTAATTATGAACATTATACGTGCATATAAGTACACCTGTAACAAAACTAGTTTATTTTAATTGAATGTCTGGAGTGATTTTGTTTGGTGATCCGTCAATTCTATTTGACAAAGTTTGTCCATGATTTTGCTTTCATTATTGTTTAGAAAAAATATGAAGGATAGAACGTAAGCCATGTACAAGTACATATATTCATGTATCTATAATTAATATTTCGGGGATGAAAGAACAACTGAACTGGCACAATAGTTTAAGAAAACTTGTAGTGTATACATATCCATGTACATTTATCACTATCATAAGACAGCTGTAACTTAAATGCTATATATCTTCAATACTTTTTAGTGATCCTTTCTACATATGATTACACTTTACCATTGGTTTCTTTGGTGATGGTTGTGGTGAACAATAAGCTTAAAAGTGTACAAACAAAAACGTACAGGTATATTGTTACTGAGCTAGAGTGGCTGATCACCTCCCGATTCTATACAGGTGTAACAATATACATACTACAGTGTGTAGCAATGCTAATAATTGGGGTACCAGGTCAACTGTGAAAAAATAAACCATCATCAGGAGACCTCATCCAACATTTAAGTCTGAATTTTAAGCTTTCAACCACCAGATACCGGTACACTTAAGAATATAATTTTATACAGCTGTGTTGTTTATCACAAATTCTGTTAAAACTTTCCATGAAATTTTAGTGGAATACAAAATGTCAGGGTCAGTGAATCTCATCACCTGTTATCTAATTGTGTGGAATATTATTCAGTTGATGTAGATATTTAAATGAAGTATCACCGGGATACAACAGTGTCATGGTCATTAAAATAATAATGGACCAGCTAAACCAATAAAGCATCACAATATCTGTGACAAAAACTCATGAAGGACAATGTATGATCACTGTATGCTGAAGGATACACTAGTATTGTTTCTATCTTAATCAATTGAGGGCAGACCGAGAAGATCCTCCCATACAGTGGGAGTAATTTAAGGCTTTCTCTGTACACTGTAGGTATTTACAACATGATCATCTATACAGATGTGGTCAGACTCAATTTGTCAGTAATCACCAGAAACACAGCACCTGTTAATCACCACCGCCTCCACACAGCCAGAAGGCGGTGGGAGACCCAGGCATTTTACATGTACTGTTTATTCTACACAGCTTTAACAGTAATGTTATCTCAGTCTACAAAATTCAGACACAATTCCACTACTTTGTAGAACTTTGGTAACTATCCATGACTACATTTGTATGAGTCCAAGTCTACACTATAGATATGTACATGTGAACAGTACCGAGCATCAGTTCACGTTAAACATATGTCCATGACTTACCTAAACTAAAACAGAAAAAAGTCAAATATGCATGGTCAATGGGGTCAAGGTTACAAAATATGTTGCATGCTGCATATGACCTGTATACTAATGAAGGCATGTACATATATATAATTCATTAATTAGGATATGTTGAACTGAAAGATCCCACAATTGCATGTAGCTGCTGTACATATACATATACATAAAGATGTACGTATATATACATAGTCCACATAACTGACATATGAACCCAAAAACTTAACCAATTAGTAACGCAGACAATCTAATGCTACAGTAATTAAAACCTACATTGTATAACTATATGCCCTGTGTGCACACTATGAAAAAGGTTTCTGAATAGCACTCATTACCTGAAGCTTACAAACTCATTATATTATCCAAGATGCTCAACCAGAATACAAATATATGTGTAAATACAGGGTTTCATATACAAATGTACCAATATATGCAATAATCATTTCAATCCTACACTTTTACATGCAGATTTACAAATGCTGAAAACATAAAATGTACATGAAGGTGGAATCATTTTGCAACACCTTAACAATTGTAATGTATGTTAATCAAAATTCATCTGGTGATCTGAATAGATAGATCTAGATCTACATTTAGCAAATAACAGGCACAATTAAGAACAGCTAATCTGGCACCCTCATTAACAGAAGGTCTTCTTAACAATTTCACAACAACTGTGAGATATCGTGTAACCTCTATAATCACCACATGCACTGATGAAACATTTAGTAAAGTTATAAAAAAAAATGTCTACAGATACATGTGTGGTATGCATCCTATCTTAAATTATTCTTCCTATTACACAACCAGCTATAAGCCTATCTATCCACTAAGTATACCCAATAAACCTTTATCTCTTTCAAAGCCTAATCATCTACGACAAGTGCTTTGGTGTTAAGAGCTTTAACTGATAAGTTCATATTTTTACACAAGCAACACACAGCAACCTGTTTATACAAAATTTATATAAAAATTCATATTTCACTTACATTGACTTAAAGAGTCCCTTTAGCTACAGTATATAGTCACAAATCACTTGATCTGTGACAGTGGACCAGTTCAATTTGATATTGGAGAGCTGTTAAATTCAAGAGTTACATTTCTATCTCCATTTGGGAAATATTACTTTTGGGATTTCAGGGATGAAAGCTTCCCAGAGTACCAATAATAAATAAGTAGGTTGTATTACAATGTATTACAAAAATGTCTGATTTTAATACTCTGAATTCAGGATTTTCAAACCTTGACCCCTTGTTTCACAATTCAAGCATCCACATGTACCATCATTGATAGCCCAGACCCACAGCTTTGATCTTTGGCCAAATGCACAATAAAAGACTTGTTGGTCATGACTGTGATGCTGCTTTTTTTTTTTTACTATAGTCAGTTTTGGACATTTTACTTGTAATGTAAATTTATTGTGAAATACTGAATAAATTGTCAACATCTGCTGTTGTTCATGATCACGAGGATATGCAAATATATAATTAACACAATAAAGAATTTCAACTCAATAAAAATTGGACAGATTGACAAAAGATTTGAAACTTGTTTTGGTAGCATTATTACATGTCTGTTTGCTGTTGTTGTTAACGGTTCAGACCACTGGATTTCAACAGGTTGGGCTCAACCGCGCAAATGGGTAACAGTTATCCATTTGAGTAACAAGTTTATTACTGAAATGGGGAATAAAGTGAAATATGAACAAAGTTCTTTTAAACATTTGGAACGAAAAATGGTGTTGCTCTTTTAACCAAATCCAATAAATAAGATAATGAAGTACATTTGTACACAAAACGTTATGAATTCTGATTTCTAACTTTTTGTGAAAATGACAAAACATTTCACTAAATTTGTTCTCCATTGACTTCAGTGTGTAGTCAATTGGATCATCCATACTTTACAATTCTCCCTATTTAGGATGGAGACTCTCGATTTTGGAGCCTAAAATTCAGTACTTTCAACCATTGAATTTGCTTAACTCTTCCTATATTCTAAAATCTAATGAATTCATCTGAAAGAACAACTCAAAATATGTAATTTAAATGGTTATTTTGTCTCCAGGGGGTATATACACACATTTTATTTATATATTTATTTTGGGCATGCATAATCTCCCCCATGGAAATTTCAAAACATTTGAAAGTATGGATCATCCAGTGCAAATGTGACAGGTGAGCATTATTTTGTGTGTGTGCTATTTTAATATAGCTACTCTACAACACAATATAAGCAATGGAGGCGATACAATTTGTCATTTTCACTAAGATTCAGATAACTGAATTTTCATTTTGTTTGCACAAATGTACCTCATTGTATTTTTAATTGGATTATGTTGAAAGAATAACACCCCGTTTTGTTCATATTTATTTTAAAGAATTCTGTGTGTTTGTTTGTTTCACATTAGTCCCCATTTCAGTCATAAAATTGTTACCCAAAATGTAGGATTATTAACCATATGCGCCACTGTGCCCAACCTGTTCAAAGCCTTTATTTTTTAATTGTTCCAGAGCATCAGCAAATTAAAGGCAATAATGACTATCAAGGTTCATCTTAGAAATTCATTTCATGATCACACGAATGAGAGAGCACTGAAACGTAGAAAATACAGGATACTCAGTATAAACCTTAGGATAAGCAACTTTAATGAGTTACATGTAGGTAAAAAAATTAAAGTTATTTTTCCCTAAATTACTTTGTTTCATTTTTGTTTTATTATCTCCATACAGTATTAGTTTATATCACAATATATAATATTGAGATACTGTGGGGGTTTTCTTTTGATAAACATATTATACAATGAGAAAATATAATGTTACTGCTCAATGGTATTGCCAATCAAAATAATTCGATCAAAATTTAATAATTAAATTAACTTTTCATAATAAGCCTAATCTGTTTAAATGCAAGCATTTAAGAAACTGAACACTGTATTTTTTCTATCATGTATAATAAACATATATGAGGCAAACCAGAGATAAGTCAATATAAAGAATCGGTCAAAATCACATATTTTCGCAACATATTTAGAATACACAATGCTAGTCTAACACAATGCCGGGTTTGACATTTGTGTTCGAGCTAGTAAGGCTAGTCTCGACAATCCTGTGTTGTGTCGTTCATCTGACTTACCAACTGTCTTCGTCATCCTTAAAAGAAAGTTTCTCCAGGTCTATTACTTCATCTTCAAAAGTATCACTAGAATCCGATTTCGTTCTTGCTTTGTCAATATTATATTTGTCTGAGATGTTATTGTTATGGTTTGGCACAAACTTCACTGGTTCTATTTCCCCATTTTGCAACGACTCCAGTTGAAGTTTTTGTCGACCTCGTAACACTTCATTCTGTTTCTCAAGCTTCTTTACAAGATCTTGCAACTTATGAACTTCTGTTTGAGGGTCGATTAATGAATCGGTTGAATCCATCGCGCTGAAAATACCATAAACAACGCCGAAATGCACACAACATGAGTAAGACTTCAGTGTTAAGTCGCCATATTGATATTGTTGTCGAGCATGCGTAACACCGTTAGTGTATTACACAGCTTCCGGGAGCAGGTGCTCGCAAAAAGTGACGAAGGATAAAGGGAGATAACGCTTACAATATGACAAACAAATTGAAAAGTGTCTCATCGAATCAATACTGACAGAAAAATATATAATGATATCTAACGTAATGTTTGCATTGTATGGAGATTAATGGGTTTTTTTCAAACGCAACCTAAAAATAAACTCACCACATATATAAGAACATGCATACAAAGCAAACTTGACTACTGCTCTTCTATTTGGGACACACACAACACAAACCAAATACAACAAATAGAAAAAACACAACGAAGAGCAGCACGCTACGTAAACAACACATATCACAACACCAGCTCAGTAACAGACATGATCCACAAACTACAATGCCCAACACTACAAACACGACTCCTTCACACAAGATTTTTTTATATAAAATAGTTCATCAACTCGTAACAATAAATCCAACATCTATACTCACACCCGTAGACCATCGAACCAGACATGCTCACCCTTACGCATACAAACACATATCTGCTATAAAAGACACCTACAAATATTATTATTCCCACACACAATAACACAATGGAATCTCCTTCCCATAGCAGCAGTACAATGCACAACACTCGATGACTCCAAGACACACATTAGTAGTCAATTCAGTAGCCACATCGAATTTTTAGTAGCCAATGAAAAATAAAAGTTGCCAATGGCTACTTTGGCTACTTGCTTTAGAAAATAAGGATGCACAAAAACAAAACAAAACAGAATAAAACAATAAAAAAAATATCATCGAAAAATATTATATTGTTTCCTTATTTCAATTATTCCGACCAATCTGGATTCTGTGTATTTTTGTGTATCAATTAAACAGCCATTTAGACTGTGGAGGGAGTGACATTGTCTGTATAAATTCGTGTGTTTTCTTGTGCGTACATGTAACTGTCACAAGGCCTCGTGAAAGTAGGTATTGTTTCTCTTCAAGTTTATTATTTAACTATAAAAGAACAATAAAATCACGGAATTAGATTGCTATCTAAGTCCGTGATAAAATATTGGATTGCATTGAAATGATATAAAAAGCATCATAAGCATGTTGATTGTGATTACGTGGCACCCTGTTAGATGTCAATTTATTTTAATACTTGATATTCATAAGACTCAGTTAAAACATATCGAGTCTAATTAGTATCACTTTGTATAATATTGTGTCGTCGATTTTAATCCGTAATTTGTGCTCTGCTGTCGCCTAGTCTCGTGTGTTCGTTTTTATTGGAATGTACATGTATGTATGTGAGTGTGACGTAATTGTGTATGTTATTATATACCTGTCTGACCGGTGACAAACTGACCATTGACACCTCTTCTTCTTCTTCCTTTACAAGGTCAGACTCAAAGGTTTGAGTGCACTTGATCCTGGGAGGTGGCATTAAAATGTTAAAAACAATTTGTAAAGGAAGAAGAAGTGTGTGTTTTTACATGGAAATGAATTATCCACTGAATGAAGGCATTTGGTACTCGTCATTTTTTTGTAAAATAATCCCAGGGATGTGCAGTGGACTACACATCCCTGAATAATCCCAACACCACAATATCATAAGAGCAGAGCCACTGACCTTAAGGTGAGAGTTAGCTTCAGTCTTACAACCCAATAATTTATTTGATAATTTGAGTTTTATAAATGCATAACCCATGCAGACGAAGTCACGGTGAAAAATTATTTAAACAAAAATGCCTGCAGTATGTGGACCTAATTTTAAAGCACAAAATCAAAAGGATGTGCATAAAAATGCGACTGGAATTATGATGTGTTTTTAATTAATTAAAGTTCTTTCTGCTCATTTTGACAAAATTTAATTCGAGACATAATTATATATATATATGTATAATTCAAAGGGTATGCCGAAGAATTAATAAACACATAACCTAAGTTATCCTCCACTTACTTAGATTTGTGTTTTACGGCGACCTGTATGTTTGAGACACAAACATATTTTTTACGTTTTGAAGATCTTGAGTGCCCGTCATATTATCTCGAGCACTCGATAAAATAGCTCGACATATTATCTCGAGCGCTCTATATTATATATGGAGCGCTAAAGATCTGTAAAAAAAAAAGTGAAAACAAAATCTGAAGTCTCTAGCAAAGTGTCTGTACACTAATGGACGTAGGAAGGGAGATAACTCCGCCTTTATTATGTTATCTTTTTAAAATCGGTATGGCGACCATCAGTTCATGGAAAGACATCGTTTTAATTGGCATTCTTCAAAAAAAAGTCCAATGTATCATTAATTAATATGGAAAATTGACAAACAAGCAATGCATTTTCTGAATTTAAGGAGAACGTATGCTCGAGTCATATACAAGTAAGTAGTGATGTCTTTAAGCCATAGTGTGAAGTTTCTAAGACTCAGTCTAATTGGTGGGCTACTGAATGTGCACATAATCTATATATACAAAAGGAGATCTTTTTTGAAAATACTTGATGAGTTACCACACGTTTACGGGAGATAACGGACACGCTGATAAATTCTGATAGACAAGAGCAAGAACAAAACATTACAAGAAGGGATACTTGATGGAGCTCAGAGTTTGGAGATGCGGGTGAACTTTAGACAGAGACTGATTTACACAGAGATCATCCAAACCTATCTACACCCGGAAACTCCACTCTGGTAACATCAGGGAAACATACTTGTTATGGTGGAGTTGATCAGTCCCCGGGAGGAGCGATGCGAGCTTGTTCGTGAGCACAAGAAAGACAGGTATGTCAGCCTCGCTGACAAAGTGAGGAGGGCAAAGGGATGGAGTGTGTGGGTCTTCCCAGTTTCCCCAGCGTTACAAAAGTGACCATATCATAGACACTGTACCGTACCTCTGTAACTCCAATAACTGCGGCTAAAGATGATATATTAGTAAAAAAACGAACTACCTCATCTGTTATTTGCTTATGCAGCAAGTGTCTTATCTCCATGATATATCAACAACGCCTTTACTAAACAAGGAAAATAGTTGTTAGGTTATAATTGAATACATGGTTGGTTTACGATTGGTTAAATATGTGTATCTCCCTCTCCCTCAGGTGACCATCAGAACGCTTTTAAATGATCTGCCTGCACAAGCTGGACAAAACGTTAACACTGAATGACCACATCACCCCACTGCAGATGTAAATTAGATATATATGGAAGATACACGAAAAGGCAATCTTTTAGTGGTGTTTGTGAATTGTTTTACATTGAAAACTTTATGCGTTATCTGATGACAGACCACAGGCCATATTTAGTAGATATTTCTTTAATCAGTAAACCAAGTTCCGTCTTCAACAGAAGAGCTGTTTCCACTGAACTAAGTGATTGTCATCTCCTCACTATCACAGTTATGAGAGATAGTCTACCTAAATTTGAAAGAAAGAAACTCGCATACCGGTGTTTCAGAAAACCTGACGACGAAAGTTGAGTCATGCAAGAACCGCTTGCCACACTGTTCTATGTTGCCCATATATTCGATTACGTGGATGACATATTTTGGACTCACGAAAAATGCGCACTAAATAATAAATAAACATATATATTCTTATAAAACAGGAATTCTAAAAGAAAATTCAGGCTACTTTCAATAATGAAATTCGGAAATGCAATAAATATTAAAGGACTTGTTCGGAAAATGTCATGAATACAAAACTGACAAAAAGATGGCGTGATTAAAAAAACCTCAGAAAATAGCGAAACTATGCGACTAACTGTAAGATCCAAGAAATAGGATTAAAGTGGTATAATTTCCTGGCCGACTATATCTCCAACATATTTTCGTCAAACAATGGTTGTATATGTGACCAAAATATTCAGCTAAAACGTAGAACTAATTAGTGGATTCTGAAAATTCTGAATTTTTTGATAACTTTGATTTTGCAAAAGGTTTTATAAATATTTTGAAAAGCTTTTTATCACTGTAGGGCTAAAGCAACTAAGAAAAATATAATAAACAATACCCTCATAACGCTATCTTTTTAATCCAATATATGAATGCAAGGCAAAGCAGTATATCGATAAGAATAGCATTGGCCTAAAAATCTACCAGTCTTGAAATTGTCAAATATCCAAATTACAGTGCAATTATGGACAAACCCATCATTGTATTTGTATGATACAAGCAAGATCTTTCCCAGAAAAGCTGAAGGTAGCAAGGGGCCTTGCATGTAACTTAAAATACCAACAAAAAATTCGAAAATATTTGATCCAAAATATTCACCATGCTCGTGGAGGTTGTTTGGTGTTGGAGGTGATTTAAAGACTTTCGATCTATGTGTAATCTTTTATGAATTAATTGGTGTCCATATTAAATCAGTTGATTAATTTTACCACTGACAATGCTTTTATAAAACGGCTGTCTTGAACTATTGTTATCAAGGAAGTGACTTAATGTTAGTATATAAGGATAAGGTATTCCCATTCATCTGTTTTGACTTTATTTTATTTTCTGCTGCTACATAATAGTATAAAATATCCTCCTGTACAACATATATGGGAAGTCATAATCATATCAGTACCAGCTAATATTGTATCGTCCCATACTATAATCCCAACGTTGGTTTCCTTTTATCTCAGAATATTATTGAATTGGCCAGAGCAGAAAAAATAAGTAACATACAGGAAATAAACTGTGTCTTTGAAAAGGAATACCTCAGGATAAGATCTGGAACGATTCTTGTCCTACTATAAGTTGATATTAATCTTTTTGAGCTACTTCTTATTGAGTCTCCTGCTACCACAGGTAAGATCACAATAGCCATGATATTAATTTTGCGATGCATGCATACGTATTTTTTTGCTGTCGACAGGGGGCTTTAGAAATCGAAGAAAAACTGGGTGTCACAAGGTGGGTACAAAGCTTTCGTAATTCACTGAACTATTTGTATGCTTTGCGTAATTTTCCAACTTCAGGTCAAAACGTGAACAACAAAACTACGTGGATACCCTTA